CGTAACTGGATCCCTTCATTAATATGAAATAACTTTTAAAGGGTCTTTTTATTTTTTTAAAGTCCCCTTTCATTCAAAAACCGCATGGACTTCATCCTCGAACATAGAAGTATTTTCAAATTTGCTATGAAAAATTGAATGAAATATCACAATAGTGACATATTGCCCGATACATACAATACAAATAAATAAAAATAATAAGTATTGTTAAGCAATGTTAACGTGCATTTCACAATTCTTATAAACTTTTTATTACTTTGGATTTGTCTCGCCCTATAGAAGAGTTAAATAACAAAGGTATTTAACAAATTTGACCACGTCTTATAAAGCACTCGTCTTACTGGCGAGTAAATACAATGAACTTTCTATATTTCGCTCAATCGCAGTGATTAATAATCATTCACACAAAAATGATACAATCATGTATTGAAAAAGTCAAATTTAGGTTGTCTTTGCTGTTTATACCGAGAGAAGTACATATGAACATACCGGAATTTGTATCTTGCTCTATTTGAATGTCGGGTGTGTATCCATCTGTATACCAGTACGATATTGCAGGAAGAGTTATATTGAGATTCTTCCGTATGAAACCTATAAAACAGTAACATACTGAATATCTATCTCAATCAATGTTATTGAACTACACACAAAATACTCTAATTGTCAGAAAACTCCTGACAATGATATTGTCATTAGGATTGAGTATATTCGAAATTTATTTAATGATATGCGACATGATACTTATTTCTGAAAAAAAATGTTAGTAAAGCACTTGGGTATCTGCTCACTCTTTTCTGAGATCGATAAAATCAGTAGGTCTAATATCAATATTTTTTAAAAGTGAAATGTACAAATATAACTATCACAATAGCACACTTTATTGCCTAATTTAGCCACACAGGGTACATGTTCTTTTAAATATCTTATTAATGAACACATCGTTTTGATTTATTTATCACTATAAATTTTCATTTATTGATTTCTTGTTAATAAAATACGATGCAATAATTAATTCTTTACCTTTGGGACAAGTTTCATTTGTACCATATATGCTAAATTCCTTCTCTGGCCATTCTATTGTATCGTTCAAACGGGCGCTTCGACGTTTAAAGCAAAACTTTAGTTTGAATGTCTTATCATCAAACGGACCAAATACGTAGGTTTGGAACTCTGGCCATTTAGTTGTTGTAACATCATGGAATATGGCTTTGCTTCCATTTGTAGAATCATTGGCAGATGACGAGGAGTTTTGGGTAAATACTTTGAGTTGTGACGCCCATGTTATTGACAAAACACCTTCTTCCCAACCTTGTTTCCATGACTCCGGACATCCGTGGATTGACATTGGAAGTACATATGGTCCAGATGGCCACTCACTGATAAACTCTTCATTATCTTTAGCAAGAAGAAATAATTGTGTTATACGTTTTCTATTTTAAATCTTTGTTTAAAATCTTTACTTTTATACTAAGCTACCATGGTGTTTTAGTTATTCAATAATTTCTCGATCCAAAAGTCGATTGGTAATTTGATTAAGTTTTTACGTGTATGACAATCCTTTTCAAAACATTCTATATTGACATTGACTATAATTTTTGGTGTAGTGAGCAGATCATTAACATTTGAATGGACAAAATAGTGCAATTCAATTTTTCATTTTTTTTTCTTAAAAATATCCGAATCAATACATCTGAAAGGTAATTAGCATATATCAAACATGAGAGAGATAGTAGATAAATATAAGTATGTCAGAAATAAACTGAATTGTTGTAAATCTTTAGTATGAAAAAAGGTGATATAAACGAAAACTTTGTAGGTTTTTTTGCAGAATACTAAAGTGGTATTTTTAAATGATAGTTTATACCTGCTTCTTTCAGGTCTGCTGGGTCACAAACGATCTTGTTTGACTCATCTTCCGTGCAATTTGCAAATTTAAAGTCTGAGGTGTGCTTGATAGGTGTTGCACTGACCTCCACTTTGATCAGGTAAAAGAAAACATATAAATATTATAAACTGTTTGTTAACAGGTTTTTTTTAATGATAGATTTTGTCTGTCTGTTTTTAATGAATGTTCACAAATCAGGCTGAATGCTTGTCGTTTGTAAGCACGTTTTCAAAAATTGTAAGTAACAATACAAAATATGAGATAGATGAAAAAAATAAAAATGTAAAAATCTTAGAATTTTCCAAGTAATGCAATTATTGTTTAGATTAGCCGTGTGCTTGTCACGGATTCGGGTTAAGTGAGTTAACAGAAGGGTTATGCTAGGAATACTGTTTTATAAAATTTAATGTAAGTTTGTTTCAAGAAATTTGCCCGTTTCTAACATCCATTTTCATTAATTAATTTGTTTGCAATTTAACCCCGCCTATATATACACAAAAGGAACATTTAACAAGTAAAAAAATCTTTATTGCTAATAAAAATGGTAGTGACACTGAATCAACAACAGCAAAAACATCATTTTTTTAATAATTTTGATTTGTTATCACAAATTACAGGCGGAACATTAACGGTCAATCCTAAATATTAATATTTTAAAATTTTCTATTTCCAGTAACCAAACCGGCTGGGTTTGTGCTAAAAAAGTAAAATCTATATAAAATTGAAACATTTTACTGCTTATATCAAAACACACCGTTTTTACTAAATAAATTATCAAGCGTGGCAAAATTTAATGTGGTGTTATGTGTCTTTTGTTTAAATCATCGCTATGCTTCTGCGAAAGTAGTTCGTCATGCAATATTCATGCTATTTGCGAAGAGTGTCATATATAACAGTCTAAAAATTGAACAAGTTATCAATTAAAAATAACTTAAAATATTTTTAGTGTTTCAGTGGTACTCATAGTTAATCAAGCAAGTCATCAATAATTAAAATTACATGGGAGTTGTCTAAAATGAGATTCACACAGGAGCTCATGATTATTATTCCTATAAAATATACAACGAATTTGAAATTAGAACCAGCTCTTCATGGTGAAATAATGCATGGAATAGACGATGCGTAAGAAGGGTCAAAAGGTATTTCCCTCAATAGCCCATGAAAAATGTATCGTGTGAGATTCTATTCCTCGCTGGAAATATTGAATATCATGTTCTACTTCTGAATTACATTAATGAACTGAAAAATCTGAAATAATAATCTTGATCTCCTATCAGCTAATTAATACGATATTAAGTTATTTAAACTGCTTCTCGTGTGTATCTGAATATCATTCACATTTTTTTCTATATTGAAATGTGAAATATATATTTGATTGATGTATGTAATACATTGTAATGTAAATATTAATCAGATTAGTATTTTACAGTGAGCGTGTTATTCCTTCATCCTTTTAAAGTTAGATAGATCGTATAAGATATAATTAATTGACGTATACATATTTGTATATAGTCATTAAACAAAACACGTAATACATAAATAAAAGATCATGGTACGATCTTATTGAAAACAAACATTTTTGAATAAAAGTATATATGGAGAATTTTCTTAAGTAAATATCTAAACAATACAAAGTTTGATTTAATGTAATTAATACGTTGCAAAAATGACTTTTATTTATTTTATATGTAGTGAACCAACAATTAGAAATACATAATTAATGCCATACTGCCGCAAAGAGCATAATTATCTTGCACATACTGGTAAAATCAGTGCTTATAACAGTTTGTTTAATATTTATAAGGTCATAATGACGCTTGGTCGCAAAGATGATGTTTTTAGCAAGGCCAATTAAATCAGATTTTCCTGATTTTTTTAAACACACTCGGTTTTCTGTAAAACTATGGCTTAATGAACTCGTACGTAATGCAGAATAACAATTACAACTGATTATAAAATGAAAATTATCCTCAATTAGAACATCAGTTGCAAATTAAATTGATGTGCGTTTTCTAGATATAGAGGCAACAATATCCAAATTATAAGCAATCTGTTTTTATATAGTTTCACAAGGTTCGAATGTACAATAGATATCAATGTGTTTTCTTTGCAGATGATGTGTGTACCAAAAAATGAAAAAATGAAATACTAAAATATTCGTTTACAATATTTCCTTTTACAGAACATTCTCCGTACGTGAACAAAACCATTCTAATAGTGTTATGTTGTTTTGAATTTGATCTGTTTTTATTAACGGAATGAAAAATGCATTGATATGTAAAAAGTGCATTTTCATTTATACAAAATATGATAAAGGGAACAAATATGTTATATTGAATTAAATTACAAAATGTACTTCATTTGGTATGAAATTAAAAAAAAGATTAAGTTAAGTTGAGTGTCATTTGCAGTAATAAAATGAAAATCTAAAATAAAACTGATAATAAAAATATAACTAATTCCTCTGTGTATATAAATGTCTAAAACAATCCTCAACGTTTCAAAAAAGCCCTACCTTTACATCGAAATGTATAATTCCTATATTATATTAAATTTTTAACTATTCTTAAAAGATACGAACTTGATTTACACTTTTTATTTACTTGATTTGATTTAACAATTTCCTTTAAAAAACAAATAAACAAACTTTAAACTTACCACAGAAAAAGATCATGTAAACGCAGTAGAAAAGCATATTAGCTCAACTTGTAAACTCAAGTTAACATATCTTCTTTCTCTATTCAAAGCGCAAATGAATGTTTTAACTAACAATTAACTGCGACACTGATTTATAAACATGATGTAAAAAGGCTTTCAGCTGCGATAAACGTCAATCAAACATGGAATCACGCCTACCAAGCATTCAAGCAATCTGACACATGATCATCCATGGGAATATAATGAATTCATAGTTTAATATTCCATTAGCTAGAATTATTTTAACATAATTACTATTCTCAGTTTCAAAAATTCTAAACACAAATATTTTCCGCAAAAGGACTCTTCATCTATTTTATTCACAATTTTAAGAGGTGAACAGTGATAGGAAAATGTAGGTTTCTTCTGAAATTATAAAATTTAATTTATACAAACAATAACATCGACATTTTCATTTATTTTATATATAATGAAATTATACATTAAGCCGGTGCTAGGAGTCGTACAGTTTATAGTACTGTCCACGAACAGGCTCAGTCAAACCGAGCAAGCAACATTTCAATTTTCCGTTTTGGACCTTCTTTAGGGATTCTATTTCTCTCTATTTTACACGTTATTTTGGTGTTTGAAACATATTACGTAAAATATCAAACAATAGATTTGATATACTTAAATATTTAACTTAATGAGACCGTGTAAATACTAAAACTTTAATCGATTTTTCTACCTCAACTTTACCTAGGAAAATACAGTCATGTATTTGACAATTCATATTTTACGAAAATGTCATTTTCACAGTATTAAGTTCATTTTAAGTGTGTGCATAAATTGTATAAATCAATCGGGTTTTCACTGAAATATTACTTTTAGATTAAATAAACATATATATAAATAGTTACTATATGAATATGTTAATTAATAACGATAATTCAAGCAATTTGAATACAATGATTAAAAGAAGATACAAATTAAAAGTGAATGAGCTAGACACGTTATATTGTTATCAGTTTCGGATGTGAAACTCATTAAGCTTTGATTGCGGTGTAATGTTTTAATAACTATTATGTATTAATCATCATTTTAAACAATAAAATTGAATTGATTAATAACACACAATTAATATTCAGACAAGGTCGTTGATGCTATTATGCTTAGAAGTAATTGATTTAAACCTACCAGCAGTGCAACATGCCAAATACCTAAAGTTCTAGACCATTTGACTGGAGGGGTTTGATTAATAGAACTTTTGTAAAGGTCACAAAATATTTCTTTACTACATATCTGCTTTGGATAGCAAGGTGTTGGGTTTGAATACTTTTATTTTGTTTTGTTTAAGTCTACAATTTTGCTCGTGCAATTTTCTTTTAATCCTACAATAGACTGAATCCATTAACATTGGTAGTAGAATGCCCCTGGGTCATTCCTGTGACGTTAAATCAAAATCTACCGTGCGGTTAAGGAGATTTTCTTTAAAGAAATTGTTGATAATGACTCAACATTGACATCATTTCATTATCAAAGCTTACCTGTGAATAAATTGGTTAATAGTTTAAACAGGCTAATGTGATTTTAATGTACATACACTAAACAAGCCATCTCTGACAGAATAGGATTACTCTGAAAAAAGTTCTAGACAGTCCCCAATGTACTGTCCCCGAGTACGTCAATTACTAATTTGTCCTTAGTTTTTAAAGAAAACGTTACCAAGTTATTTTCTAGCACACAAAACAAGCCATAAAAACATAACAGGAAGTAAAATAATACTTAAGCTGCTGGTAGAATTTTGAAGCAGAGTGTTTTTTCTTTCTAGAAATTCATTTGAAAGGTTATAACTTCATTGTGCTCACAATACCTTTTTGAACATTTTGTCGCCATAGAACATTTATATAGGAAGAGGCATACATGATAATATAAGCCTAATTTTTGAGATAAAAGAATGTGATATAGTCAAACGCTGTGTCCTTTAATATCGAATTATGTCCCAGTTCACCCAAGTTTTTTTTCTACAGTACTTAAGTAGAGTACAAAGAATCTGTACTTTAAAAGAGTACCCAACATAAGTATTAAACAACTTGCTGCACATAAATAAACTAATATGATAAAACCTGAAACAAGGTTTAAATCTATTTCAAATGATGTCTTAACACATGCAGTTGAAATTAAAATGACAAACTTATAAAGAATTTTAATGTTTTCTGGCAGTGAGACTTATTTGTAAGAATTAAAAGGTAACTCATATAAATATATTTGAGCCGCGCCATGACAAAACCAACATAATGGGTTTGCAACCAGCATGGACCCAGACCAGCCTGCGCATCCGCGCAGTCTGACCAGGACCCATGCTGTTCGCTATCAATTTATCTTCTTGTTATACCGTTTGTAAGCAAACAGCATGGATCTTGAGACGCAGGCTGGTCTGGATCCATGCTGGTCGCAAACGCACTATGTTGGCTTTGTCATGACGCGGCTTATTTATTCTTTTCTAGAAGGAAAACTTGCTGAATTGAGTTTGGCTTCAGTTTCTTATTTTCATTAGAATATCACTAATTGACGAGTTTACATTTCTTAATGAATACCTTTTCCTTATCTTGGCTAATAAAAAGTGGGATCGCACCTATATCGCTCACTACATGAGCGTCTTATTACTGGACCAATGTCTATCTTTTATATCGACATACATCTGCTTATCCTTGAAGCCAAAGAACACCTTTGCTTTATCTGTAAATGTAAATAATTGCCAACATAAAATAATTATTTGTGAATTGTTTCTTTAAATAAACCCGAGTCTGTAACATTTTTAATTTTTGCCGTTTTTGACCTATTTTTAAGGATTTTACTCCTGAAGATGTAGGGAGTTGTTGTTTTGGCAGTTTGTTGCTTGTAATGTACCAAATCATGCACCGATTTTTTTTTCTTTTTCCCACACAAAGTGGTAGTTTCTAATAAATTTTCGCGGAAATATCAGCTACAATGACTTTAAAACAGATTTATAAGTTCATTTTGCAAAAGTCATTTGTGTTTTATATGCTTTTCGTAATATTATTTACAAAGTATAGTGTCTAACATTATTCTTTTAGTTAATGATGATTTTGTCACATTTTTCAGATACATAGTTATTTCTACTAGGACATTTCATTGGTTAATAGAGGAAAACTCATCAACATTTGGCTGTAGCCTTTTTGTTTTTTCTTGTTTTTTTTGCGCATATTTACTTTGGGCGTTGTCTTGTATTTTTTGTCAGGAGTTTAAAAGAAAATTTTGTAGAAGCAACGTAGTAAAAGTATATGTGGAAAATAGAAAAGAATATTGTTAAATTTTGGTCAAGTGAAACAGGTAGAAAAATCAAAACGTTGAAAAATTTAGCTCTGTTTACTTTGATTTAAAATTCGGATTAAAATATAAATAAAAAATAAATTGGAACTAGAAGAACTTTCATGTGGCGGATAAAAGAAATTATCACAGGTTGCTGCATTAATTGGTCCCGCGAACCGGATACTTGTTCTGGATTGTATAGTTAAACGTATAAAAAGAGATTATGAAAATAAAGACTTATAGCAGTGCAGCATAACTGAAAAATATATATACAAATATGGAATAAAATGGAACATTCTTCATCATAGAAGTAAACAGTTGTAAATAGTTAATAAAAAGGAATATAAATTTAACAGAACAGAAACAGTGAAGAATAAAAGAAGAGAAAACAACAACACCAGCAAAGAAAAACATTCAGCATCTATAAACAAGATGACAAAAACAGATCAGGCGAATGAACTGGAGATTTTCATATTTTTACAAGATACGTTGAGTAATAAAAGTGGTTTAGATTTCACGGATGAAATTTCAGGGTTATCATGAGTTGAAACACAGGTCATGATCAGTTGTTTAATTGGGCATGAAAATTAGATGACATTAACTGGACAAGGCGGCGATAAAAAATCTCATTTTTACTGTAATTAACAGAACATTGTTCAGTGCGACGAAATAGTGCGGTGTTCTATTACGGCCATCTCCTATGAATAAAGAAATTTGAAACGTGAAAAGTCGAAAACACGAAATGACGAAAACACGAAGGCACGCAGATGAAAACACGAAGGGATGAAAATGCAAAACCACGAAACGAAAACGCGAAGACACGACGACAAATCCACGGAAACTCGGCAAATTCAAGTTTTTTTGCGTTTTTGTCATCTTGTCTTCGCGTTTCGTCTTCGTCCCTTCGTGCTTTCGTTCCTTCGTATTTTCGCATTTGCGTCTTCGTTACTTCGTGTTTTCACGGTTTCGTTTTTTTGTGTTCGTGCTTTTGTGTTTTCTATTACGCATGTGCAGAATAGTAGATTTGTTTCACAATGAACAAGTCATTTTCAAAAATGCTTTGCTTTTAATGAAATGCTTGTAATTATTTTTATATGAAATTGTAAAGATTTGATACAAAGCGACATTTATAAAAATGATTTATTTTTAAAGTTAAATTGAGGTTCTAATAGTCTAATGGTTTAATTGTATGTACAACGCTAAAAACATTAGCTTAAAACTTTACCAAAATGCTTTCCCCACACAACACCCAGATCAGAAACCTGTAGTATATTTATCTATCAAACTGTTTAGAATAACTGGAAGCAATGGTTGTTTCAAAATTGCAGTATACCTGAAATATTATTTTGCCTTAACATTGTCACTAGTATATGTCCTATCATAAAAATTCCTTATCATAAAAGTAAGACTATAGTATTTATGCGAACTTTTCAACTCATTTTATTTATTTTTGATTACCTCGTCCAACCTTAACCTATTGTTTTATTATTGTTTCAGCTTAAATTCATTTTAGCGTATATTAATGTAGATTTGCGAAATTAAATATTGCATTGGAAATACTGACACCGGATCTGACATCGTTAAATGGTGATTTCCATAAGAATTGATAATCAGTTATTTGTGAATAATAATAATAATAATAATAATAATAATAATTCAGTGTTTGACACTGACAAAATACTGATCTCAAAGCATGCAAATTATTACTTTTAATGCGCATTAATGTGCCTTTCTCCCTTCTTTTCGAAACTACAGTTATCCTTTCGTGAATAGAACAACCGACGTTCCACTGAGTAATGCTTTACATAAAAGA